GAGGGGCGAGTGAGTTGGGGTTTGTCTTGGATATGTGGAAGATGGCACGGAAAACGGGTCGGTTCTCGAGGAAGTCATGCTTGAGCGGAAGTGCACCTATAAAGATTGGCATAACCTGCGTAACATACATCGTAAGCTGCGGTTGTCGGACGGTAGGGGTGACAGCACTAACCTGGTCTAGAGGCATTGATTCCGCGTTCTTTAGGAGCATCCTCGCGACACACCCAGTAGCATTGTCCTTGGCGTTGAACTGGGCATGTGGTGCGCCCTCGGCAATGACAAAGTATGGTCGCAGAGCGGTCAGGATCGCGATGTATTGTCCGCTCATATCCACCTCGCTGTTCTCTACGAGTACCCCCATCGCAAACGCAGCATTGCTTCGCACCTCGGAGTCCTCGTCCGAAAAGCCCTGAGAGATGAGCGTAAACACATCCTGGGTGAATGGCGTTATACCGCCCTTCATCCCAGATATGATTTCACCGAGACAGCCAATTGTCGAAGTACGCTCGCTGAGCGAACGGTTCTTGGACTAAGCATGGACAAGTTAGGCACATATTTGTGCATGTTTGTACGCGAGCAAGGACTCACGTAGTATTTGCTGAGGAGCGGGAACAATTGCGCGAACAACACAGCAAAGTCCGGTCCAAGGATGCTAGCAAACGAAGCGACAAGGTCGCTCGCAGCAGAGATCAGCACCTGGTCGTATTCGGCTTGGTCTTCATTCTCTTCGTTGTCTTCATCATCCTGGTCAGGATCCTGCTGGCAGAGCGCCTTGCCCTCGAGGATCTCAGTTGCGAACCGAACCATCGTCTCAAGGTCTGCCAAGAGATACAAGGGTTGAGCATGTGCCTCTCGTTTAAAGTAGTAGAGATGGCATGTCAGAGACTTGAATGGGTCCGAAGACTAGCCCTCATAACAGCGTGTGTTGTTCGAGATTTTGCAGATAGGTTGCATCTTCTAAGGAGAGGATAGGTAAAAACTACTTACGTCCTTCAGCAAGGCCAGGTCCAACCTTGGCCAGCGTCTCGCTCAAGCTCTGGCACACATTCGCGACGACGTTCCTAGATAAAATTCGCGTTTAGTCCCATTGGCTTTGAAAAAGACGGAAGCGAGACGAGGGAATCAGAATATACGCGTTCGTCGCATAACTCCGTAGAGTGTCGAAGTGAGCTGAGTTAACGTTGTGATATCTTCATGTGCAAGAAGGGTTGAAACCAAATCAACGATTTTCAACTCACTTGTCATCCTCAGTCTCCCACATGACGAATATTTCGGGCATAACGTGCGTAATCAAGTCCTTGACGTTTTGATGCAATGGAACTTTCTGTAGCATTTATTAGTTCTCCATCGAAGGGTTAACAAAAACCACTTACCACTTCATTACCAGGAACCCATTCGGTGGGAGTGGACAGTTCGTAGAACGTTTGGATAATCTCGAACAACGAAGTAACGGCTGATTTGCGGATGCCTTCGTAGTAATGGGACAATAGCTCGACGAGTTCATGCACGCACGGCTCGACGTACGGCAAGAAGTGGTTGCGAGTGTACATGAACACGGTTCCAATGGTGTCAGCAGCGATCTCCTTCTCGACGGCGATGGCACTGTTAACAGCGAGCTCCTTGTCCTCGTCAACGTCCTCGATATCAATCGACTCGGAATCAGCAGGGACGGGGATAGCATCCGAAGAAGAATTGCCGGTGGCCTTTTTCAGCTCCATAAGCTCCTTGGCTATGAGGGCTCGGTTCAGTATGTTGTGTTCAATCATATTAGCTTCACTTACCGAATGCGGTGTCCTCGCCTCCCTCTTCTTGCTTGCAGCTTGCAATAAGCGCTGGAACAACACGATCGAGGTATGGCGCGAACTCCTCCTCGAATACGCGAGCCATCACGCCGAATATAAGGAAGCTACACTCGCGCAGACGGGCGGAGTCCAGCGACATCCCCTCAAAGGCATTATTCATGACCGGCTCGAAATAGGGACGGAAGTGCTCTCGCCCAACAGCGTCGGCAAGTGTACCGACAGTGTCCATAGCAATGCCCCGGAGCTCTTGCTCACTTCCTTCGCCGCGAAGCACAAGGAACGGCTGTAAACGTTGCATGGTGGGCTGGAAGTAGGGCAAGAAGCTAAGTTTGGCAGCATGCGCGGCAGATCCAATTGCCCCTGTGACAATACCCTTGACCGAGTTGGGAGCGGTATCCAGCAGACCAGAAAGACGATCCATAAGCTGCGAGAGATATTGGGTGATTGAATCGCCAAGGATTTCGAGGAAATCATCGAGAGCAGTGCAAGCAGCTCCTTGGGTATCAGGATTGTTGATCATGTCGAGGAGGATGGGAAGAATGGTAGCATGACGATCAACCACTTCCTCTTCAAGCCATTCGCAGGTACATCCCAGAGCGGACAACGCTGCTTTGCGCACAACGGGATGGGGGTCAGCAAAGCCAGCATCGATAAGTGGCCAGAGCTGGCGCATATGGGGGCGAATAAACTCGGAGCAGCCCTCGAGGGTGACCGCAAACGATGTGAGAGCGGCCTTGCGCTGGCCAGGATCGGAAGATGCCATGTATTGAGTGACGATCGAGTGAAGGGTTGGGAACACCTGAGAGGGAGGCAGCGATGTTGCCAGTTCGTCGATGACGCGGAATGCAGTCTACGAAAATAACTGAGTTGGGTGCACCTGTTAAAGATGAAATACCTTACCCTCGATGGGCATTCGTCGTCCGCATCTTCAGTATCTTCTTCGGCCCCAATGGGCATTAAACCCTCGAGAATAGGCTTTGCGAGATTGAGACTCTGAATCCTGTGTTTTTTACTGTAGCTAGGTTAGTACGAGTACACACTGGGAGATTATCGAACATACTATTTCACGGTCCAGGTCAGCGAGTTGAGTGACATGATGCGCAAACCGGTCTCATAATTTTTGTTTCCTCCACAGCGCAAGAAGAATTCAACCATCTGGGGCATATGCTTGGAAAGCAGGGGGGTTTCCTAAAACAGCGAGGTTAACGCAGCTAACGATGGCTATGTAATATGCTCACCAGAATTAGTAAAGTCTCGAATACATCAAAAACGTTGCGTGCCCCCTCCTCGTTGTTGCTCTCGAGGCAATCGGCAAGGACATTGATCATCCCGGGTATAAGAGTTTGAAATTGTTTCTGAACACCGAATAAGCACCAGCAGGGTGCAGGGCAGCACTGAACTCACAATCTCGGCCTTTTGGTCAGAATCGATGTACTGCGCAACTTGCCCCAAACACCTGACGGCCGTGACACGAACTTCTGCACTCTCCGGATCGCGGATGAGGTTGTCGAAGAGAGAGAAGAACGTAGAGAGGCGCTCCGAAACCTCGTCCATCAGGTTGTCCAGTATAGTAAAAAGCACGTACACGCCGACCTCACGGTGGGCCGCAACGCTAGCAACACATGATTCCTCGACCCAGGGGATAAGCTCGCGCCAAGTAACCTGTTGTGTGCCTCCTTGAAGTTCAAACTGCGCAATTGCGGCAATTACACGAGCGATAGTGTGACGGACAATCGATACAGGCTCCGCAAGGATGACTTGGGTGATCCTGGCCTTGATCGCGCTTCGAAGGTTTTGGGGCACACCCACCCAGAGCTGGCCTTGATGTTGATTGACGCGTTTCCGCAACTCTACAGCGGCAAGTTGACGGATCTACGCGCCATGGTTCAGTACTCGCGCCATTTGAACGTATATCGACGCGTACATTTTGGTCGGGGGAAGAATTGATAATTTCAAATAGGGCTGGGATACAATCTGAGCTCGTCCAGTAGTTCTTTGCTAAATTAGCAGTCGCCTAGGGCTATATGAGAGTGTGCCAAGATGGAATATACGCATAGACGTACTGCTTTGATAGCGTTCGTATCAGGAGCGGCAGTTTGCGCCAGGAGATCGTGAAGGTTTTTAATATAAGTAGGCTGAGGGGCAGGCAATCAACACATCGCCCTAACCCATCCGCCACCAGTGAACGTACATCCATGACTTTGTGAATATACTAGGGCTTGAGTTGAGAGGAATTGTCGCAGGGACGCGCCTGGACTCGTGAGTGGACGTAAAGAGACGCGTTGGGTGAGATGGATGAATTCGAACCAAAATTTCTGCACAGACCACTTTTGAGGGTCTCCTCACGTGACATGCAGCCTCTGTTGATCCATTGCGACACGCTCAATCGTCTGCCACACTAGAACATGTATGCGTATATTGCCTGGAACATCCTATTTCCGCAGTTGACGACGTGAGCACTGGGAGATTAATCTCTTTGGGAAACCAGACTAGTCAAAATATACACGTCTGAAAGAAAGATTTAAGGCCTAGTGTACATGTTGTGGAACACGTTAGCCCCGAAACCACTATACAAAAAGTCTTGTCAAACGTGATAAGAAGTTCTGGTTGATGGAAGCCAAGGTTTGTGGCTGGCTCTGGTTAAGACCTATAAACCAGAGTTGATCATAAACCTGATTGCACCCCTTAGCCCCCGGTGGGTGAAAGTATCAGTACAAGGGTGTTTGGATATCAATGCAGCATGGAATAGATCATGGTTTATGTGAGAAACATAAATTTTTTGAGTATAAGCCTAGCTTGGTGTAGAATGTCCAGCTTCCCTATGCTTCCCGTCTCTAGGTGATTGTCTCTATATGCGCCGTTTCTTGCTCACTTGTGCTCATACTGCCACGAGATTTGGTTGACATGTCTTGATCAGGTCTACTATGACAAATAAAAAACAGTAAATTCATGAGTCGCCTGCTGTAGCTTAGCCATTTCATCAAATACTGACTATCATGGGGTATATGCTAGTTACGGCAAATGAAGCCAGGGATGGGGCATGGGTGACAAGGGAACCAGGTTACACATGCAACTGGTATGTTACGAGGGAGGAATACTCTAAAGATAACTGAGGCATAAAAAAAATTCAGAAAATTCAGAAAAAGGTGGAATAGGCTCCTGGGGCAAAAAGCCAGACAAGAGAGGTAGAAAAAAGAGTGACCTCTACCCGGATTGAACGGATGACCTTGTGGAAACAGCACTTACGTAAACAGTTGTAAGCTGGAATCACACGCTCTACCACTGAGCTAAGAAGTCTTGCGTAACAGTCTCCAAACCGGTACACTCTTGTTATCCGGCATATAGCAGCTCAGGCGCCACGTTTCGCAGCTTGGCTCCTATTCAAACATTGTAGCCCGACATAAATTGTATATAATATACTATATGAACTAGCTGAGAGGACGAAGCAGGCATCCCAGGGGAATAAAACGAGAAAAAAGTGATTTTTCAGCCTTCGACTTGAATGACATTTAGGCTGCGCCCGATTAGTATATATTATAGCTCTGGGTACGTAGAATTCATCGAAAACTGAATAATCCCGATTGTCGCAGCAGTTACGGGGATATAAGCCCTCCCAGTTGCGAAATTTCAGCATTTTTGGCCCAAATTAGCGAAAATCAGCCAGTTTTGAGGACTAGCACCTCCGTAACTACTGCGTTAACCAAGATAATCCAAGCTTCGGTGTGCTCCGTGCACACAAGTTTGTAACACATACTGCGCCAAAGCTTGAATGTTGCTCAGTCAAAAATCATATTTACTCATTTTACCTGTTCCGCTCTTTCAATTATCTCATATAGCCAATGTATGCGCTTTGGGTCAAGCTACAATGTTGATAGGAGCCGAGCCGTGAGATGCAACCCTTGAGCTGGCATATACCGTTCAAGCATACTACGTCGGTTTCGTGAGTCGCGATACACAGGCTACCCTCAAACAAAGCACTAGCCCCGCGAGGTCCTTATGCTTATCAAAACTATCAATTTTAGGAGATATTCGTTCTTACGTACACTCCCCCGGGTCTACACGACAGATATGCAATGTTCGACCAGCGAGTCGTTCACCGAACCACTCATGTCACCCAAACATCACTAGTTTGTTATTTCCCGGTAAACCACCCTCGTCGACCATAGCAAGTGCTCTCCATCGACGGGGAAAGTGCCACGCAACAGCTAGTCCTTGTGACGAATGATCAGACATGGCCGTGATGGCAGAGCGGGACAAGCTCAGAAATCTTCCCGACCGCCGTTTGAAGCCGAGCCGACCGGATCCAGGTGGGGCGTGATCATGTAATTGTCAATTCCAGCGCTGGAGGCTCACTTGCTGTCGACTACGGTTAAGGAACATGCTTTATGATCCACCTAGCGTCGCAGCCGCTTCTTATTTATCTCGGATTCCCAGGCGTGTTCTCATTCACCCAAAATCAGCCCCTCCTTTTCGTCCTATTACCACCCAGTCCCCCCTAATCTCTTATAATCTCATTTTAACACACCAGAGGCATGCCTAGTATCTCCTTGATAAGCAAGCTCAAGTCAAAAGTTAAACACCAAGGCGAGGTTGCGGTATGCAAGTTCAAAGTCGACGCTGCCGAAGCCATCGGCGTTCCCGTCCACGACACAACACCCATCGCCTCGCTCAAGGCAGAAGCCAGTGAACTATTCAAGAATGGCGATAGCAAGGGCGCCCAGCGGGTCTACACTCGAGCTCTGGCTCACCCCGATTTAGATCCTCACGAGCGGGCTGTTCTGTATTCCAATCGGGCTGCGGCTGACATGAAATTGCGCAGGCGGGTTTACACTTCCTACTCGTATTCTTTGCGTCATTAATAAAGACACAGATTTGAAGAGGCCATCTCCGATGCCAAAAAGAGTGTCGAGGCAGACCCGAACTATGCCCGTGGATTCGAGCGCCTTGCCACTGCACAACTGGTAACTATATGCGAGACACTTTTCTGGCCATTACTTACACACACCCAGGGTCTACATCGCTTCACAGATGCGTACGAGTCTTATGGGAAAGCCATTGCCATTCTGGATGCCATTCCCGAGCCAACGTCCGCCGACATTGCTCGCAAGGTCAAGATTGAGCAGGCCTTGGCGGAAGCGCAGCGCAAAGAGGCTGGCCCAGATGTACTGCTCATTCGAAATGCAGTTGGGAATCTACCTTGGGACAAGGCAGCAGGTGAGTCCCTCACTCAGTCGGCGAATTGGCTCGAAACAGGTTATAGCAATGCGACCGAGTATGGATGCGTCCTCTGACGGAACATGCACTAGCGTCAGTGTTTACGCTCAAGATTGTTCGCAAATCAGCTAACCGAGATTCAGGCCTGGATTATTTTGGAAGCCCACGAGGTATATAGGTGCACCTTTCGATCAAGTCACGCTCAATTATTTTTGTACTAGGTCTTCAAGAAGGGATGTGATGCACTGTGGGAGCTCCAAAAGAATGAAACTTCAGAGGGTCTTGCGATTTATGGTCGTCTTGGGGTGCGTTTTGTGTTGGATGACCAAGCCTGCCCGCATATACTCACACGCCTACAGGCCGTGGCTGATATTTCCGACGGTCTCTTGCGCGATGAGCGTGCGTTCCACATGACCACACCTGACTGGAAGGATAGGTACGGCTACCAGGGTACGTAACTTGGCAGGTCTGCATTCACCCTCTAAAGCTTTTTTAGCGCAATACGAGGCTATGGAATACAATGCATGGATCAACCAAGGTGACGAAGCGATTATCATGCGCGAAATTCGAGAGCGTGTCGCTACTCGTGGTTGGAACGACGTCCGGCCCGCCCTCGACCTGACTGTTCGCGCATGGATCATGCATGCGTTCCTGCTACGCTCCATCCCAGACTATACCACCGCCGTGCAACTTTTGCAAAAAGTCCAGCGGTTCTTGACATGGGGCGACCACCAATGGCCAGACGTCCCAACCTCTGAACGTGGGCCGATTTTCGAACCTACTTTCAGGCGAAGCGTCAGGCGTCTATACCTTCATACGTTGTACCAGGTAATTCAGGCTCCGAGCGTTTTCCTTATGGCTAACCTTTCTGCAGGCCGTTATAAATAACCCCGGCCCCAACTCGCCGTTCTCTCTCGCCGAGCTCAAGAATACCTCAGCCGCCATCCTCGACGACGTTGAGCAGCACCCGCCCAAGGACGAGGATAAACATACCCCTGGAACCATCGCCGCTTTTTGGTTGTACCCCACGGCCGAGGCAATGATTATTGACGGCTTTTATCACATGCAGCTCGCAGTCACGACTGTGCCCGTCAACCCGGTGACGCAAAAGGAGAACTTTAGGCTCGCATATGAGAAGTATTTGGCCGGTGCAGAGCGATTCCCCAAGGACGACGAGGTAAGTGTCTTTGCTGTAACCCCACGGGCAATGACTTACTTTCATTCGACAGAATCACGCCTGTGAGCACCCGAGGTCCATAAATTGAATAATTGCTAACCCATTTTATAGACTACCTCAAGAGTGCTCTTGAATGCCTCATGGAAAGTGGTGCCCCCTTGCGCGAGACCCTTCCTCTCATGGAACGGGTGCGCAAAGCAACGCCTCTTATGAAGAACATCTGGGAGATTTCAAGCATGTCCCTTTGCGGCCGCGACGCTGCGCTTCAAGCCGTAATCTCCTTCGAGGAGGGAGTTCAGAAGGACCTGAAAGATGGAACGATCACGCTAGACGACGTAGTTAAGATTCCACACACTGAGACCCTCTAATGAAACAACCAAAGTCCATCCCCATGTATCTGAAACACACATGTACTGTATTTATCTACATTACACAGTTCCCTCTCGTCCACAAACTGTAAAGCCGATTCAGTCATGAATTGTCCAAAGAATTAATCTGTCATACAAGAAAGTTACACTAGATTCGTTTCGTCTCGCTCGGCTTGCGTGGAGATGCATCCTTCAATTCGTCGCTTGTCGCTGTTCGAGAAGGCGTAGTTCGTGTACCCATCGGGGATGAGGTTGGGGTCGTAAATTCAGCGGTTGCAGGCGAGTCGGTCTCGGAACGTTCCATAGCGGGCCGCAGTGGCGTTGCGGGAGAGTCTACTGACCGCATCGGGCTGTTTGCAGCCGTAGTGACCTTGACAGGTGTGGCCGTAGTTGAAGGAGCGGTCTTGATAGGCGTGCTCGGAGTGGGCATTTCACCCTCTGTCCGGGGCGGTGAAGGACTCGGCGGTGTCCTTGGGAAAGTCATATCCGGTAATGGCGACGGCAGTCTCACGTCCAGCGACGGAGCCCCAGTGCCTAGTCTTCTAGGTGGCAGCGACGGAGCCTCACTCGGCGCTTCGCCCATACTACCCGATCGAGGGGGGAGTAGCGGGGCTTGGGCATCCATCTCAGGATTCGGAGTAGGATTGAGGGCTGCCGCCCGAGACGCTGGGTGAATCGACTTGCCCGGCCTGGGAGGCAAGCGCGGAGCAAAATCAATGTCGGGGAGTCGAGGTGCAAAGTCGAGGTCCCCAGTCACAGTAGGGTGCCGAACGAGCGTATGAGAAGAGCCGTACTCGATCTTCATCGGTGCTTCGCCAACAGGTTCCGGTGGGAGAGGTGCGTCTCGAACCGGATTGTTCTCTTTATCCCTTTCGGGCGCTTTGTCGTCATGAACCACTGCCCTTGGGGTCTCGGATAACGACGGCTTGGCCGAATGTCCTGACATCGACCCGTTCTTTTCGCCTTTTTCCGGTCCAAGACTGGTGCTCGATCCTGTTGCATGATATCCCGGAAGCTCTTCTCCCGTCGGGTCCTTATCTGTCGCATCAGGCTTAACCGTAGCTCCACTATTTTGCTTCTCAGGTTGCGGCGGGGTGATATTGAAGAACGTGCTCGAGGCAGGGGAACTTCCTTCCGCCTCGCGTTCGCCAAACACCAACGGCGCTGATTGCCGTGAGTCAATTCGGCATGTTGGATGTCAAGGAATAGAGCCTACCATAGGTAATCATGTCCTCCAGGACCGTGTCTTTCATACCCCCTACACTGAGCAATTCTGTGCTCCCGCGGGGGATTTCATCCTCTCCAAATATCACCGATCCAAATACAATCGAGAGGTTGCGTGCGTCCATCCTGTAATTCGTGAACTTGGATGCATGCTTTGCTAAAGGTGAGGGGCGTACTTGTTCTTTTGCGCTCTTCCTGCAACGCGTGCCAAATGCTCCACGACAACTCGTACTGTCGCTTGGTGCACTCCCGGGAGTCTTCTTAGCCTACCGCGTAATACCAGGAAACCGTTCTTGATATGTTCATCTGGACGC